AGATAGATAGATAGATAGATAGATAGATAGATAGATAGATAGATAGACTGTAGATAGATAGACAGAGATAGATAAATAGATAGGTAGATAGATACAGAGATAGAGAGATAGATAAATACATAGGTAGATAGATACAGAGAGAGAGAGAGAGAATCTGCCCACCTTACATCTCTGACCCTGGGCGGCCCTAAACCGAATAGCTTAAAAACGAAATAAAACAAAAACCCTAATATAGAATAAAACCAACGCAAAGGGTGCAGCTCGTCCCTTTGAAAGCTGAATTAGCGGTTGAGATTTTGCTTCCCTTCCCGAGGCCGATGGCTGGCAGGAAGCGGCCCAGAATCCCAAGGCAAAGTACGATGTCCGTGGCTCCCTTCGCTCCCGCTGCAGCATTTCAGGGGCACGATTAAAAACGTCGTTCAGGGTCTGACATCGCGGAGAAGTGATAAAAAGAAAAATAAATAAAAAGAAGTTGAGCTGGAAGAGCAGGCAAGGTCAACCCACAACGTCAACAACTATCTGTCCTGTTTTGCCCTCCCTCATTCTCTGGGTATTTTTTTTTCCCGTTCCCCCTCCACCCCACCAGCTTCCTGAACAAGGCAAGGAGGGCTGAAACGGTGGAATAAAATTAAATTCGTCCTAAAGACAACCGCCGGAGGCTTGTAAAGGGAGGTTTTTTTTTAATCCACCATTTCTTGCTCTCTCTTTGCCTTCAAAACGCACCCCGCCTTTCCCCTCGACCGGCGTTCCAGACCCTAGGCATCCACGCGCCGCTGCTCATAAAACCCAGAAAGTTCCTTAAAAACTGACATTAAACTAGAATTCGAGAGAAATAAAAACAGGCAAGCCCAAAATAACGTTTTGTTTAGGGACTGTGGGGAAAAGGGAAATCTGCGGGAGCTGTTGGAACAATTAAAAATAAAAAACTCTTTACAGCGAAGAATGGAGCAAAGGAGAATTTTTGATTTAGCAAGAAAATCTGATTTAAAGTGTTTTTAAAAAGGGGGTCTAAAATGTTTTTTAAAAGCTGGTTTACAATGTTTTTTTAAAAAAAACTGATTCAGAATGTAAAAAAAAAAAAGCTGATTTAAAATGTAAAAATTCTAAATGGGCCGACATCCGTGTCTAGGGGTTTATTTATATTTATTTAGGGGGGATTTTTTAAAAAATATATATAAGTTTTTCTTTAACATATGTAAGTACTTAATAAGCAGTGTATTGTCTGGGTCAAATTACAAATATATACCGTGT